AGCTCGCCCTGTCGCTGCTCGGGGTCGCCGCAGTGGGTTTGGGATGGGTTGGACAGCGTGGAAAATGCTGTCACTGCCGAGCCCCTTGCAGTAGGAGCCCCGAGGAGAACCGGGAGCCCCGGAGTGGGGAAATCCACTAAAAAGCCCATTCCTGCAGGGCACGGAGAGGTAAAGTGCAGGGGAGCCGTTTTTCCCCATGTTTCCAGGCCTTTGGGGGTGCGAGGAACACTTAGAAGAGGACAACCTATTGTTTCGCAGTGTTAGCGGGTTCCCCCCGCCCCGAATCACGGAATTGCTAAGCAGGGATTAAGCTGCAGGATTATGGAGGGGTCGGGTTTTAGTGTCTCGATTTCTGCAATCTGCTTGTTCGGTGACGAGTACCATGTACTTTGCCTGCTCTCCCTTATTTATTGTTGAAGGTGACTTTTGTCCCAGCCACGACAGCTTCTATTCCCTTTTTTGTCCGTCAGCCTCATTTGGACTGCTCCTTTTTGCCTCTCCTTTTTCCTTCCTCTGTCTGCCAGTCTTTGCTCTTTCTTTTTTGCAGCTTCTCGTTTTAAGTTTTTCTATCCTTCTCAGGCTAGAGGTGCATCTGGAATAGCTTTTTTTCCAGGCTGGGTAAAACTGGTGTAGTGGCTCTTCATTCCCTCTTTCTCCTGGCAATGCTGGTGAGAGGAGCAGAATATTCTGTTGCTTACCATAAGCAAAAAGTGTGGCTAAGCCTCTTGTGCTGCCCTCCTTCATGCCTTTGAGAATCATTTGTCCTCTGAGGAGAGCTGCAGAGAACTCGACAACTTTACTACTTGGATCCTGCCTAATCAGGAGTCCTGTTTGCAGAAAAGCATCAGCTTCTGCAATTTGGAAGAGGAATAGCTCTGCTTGTGCCATTGCTGGCTTTAGTTACAAACAGGCTACTGTCAGTCATAAACAATTACAAGATTTGGCAGCTTGGGCTGCTCTTTGCTGGAAACAGAAATGAAGTCATGGACACAGTGGTACATACCAGGCAGTTTCTGAAAGGATTGGACCTTCAAACAGGCCAGTGCAGATAAATAGCATAGGAAGTTGCAGAATGCATTGAGCTGTGGGAAAATACACTAGAGTATCTTCACAGTCTTCTAAATAATTTTAAAATAATAAGTAATAATAAAAATATTTGTGAAATAAACTCAATTTGTAGTTCTGTAGGTCTCTGCTATGCAGAAAGCTTAAGTAGAAAATAACATCACTGTTGTGGATTTAGAAACCTTGATGAGGAGAAAACCTATAGATCACTTGAGATGAGATAGTTTCACAAATATCTCGAGATGTTACTTCAGATGCTATCACAGTTCTGGTATTGGTGCATGGACTATTGAATTTTGGTCTTGTTTTGGTGTATAGGGTTGAAATGAGAGAATAAAGAACAAAAAGAGAATAGACAAGAAGAGGACAAAAAAAAGAGTTCTGGAGGAACCAAGAGGTGTAGAAAGTGGCACAGTGTTTGCTTGATGAATGGAATGGTGAGGACCGACAGGGATGGTTAGAAAAGCTGTCAGCAAATTACTGTGAGGGTCTGCACTGGTTAGTGGGAAGGTACTAACCGGGATGAAGCCGGGGTTGAACTGGTAATCCCATGCAGTTCAGTTTGTTGAATGTAGTCTTTCCCTCCCATGCCGTTTTGGACTCTCAGAATGGGCCTAGTATCACTTGGATATCCATCCAAGTAATAAATGTAAAAATGTTTTGCATATGGGCAATAATGTTGCTGGATACCATCTGTTCAGTTGGCCTCAGCCTGACTATAATCCATTTTATTTGTTTGCTGGTGCTATGCTCGATGTTTTGGGATTACTTGAAGGACCTGCTTGCAAAAAATGCTAGTCAATAAAGCCTGTACAGCCCCTTGTCTATGGTATAATTAAACTGATCTGCACTCAGATTATTTAGCAGAGCAGTTAAGATAAAAATGGTCTTACACGACTCAAACACAGTTCTTGGGGAAGGAAGTCTGTCATGTGTGCGGGGTAGTGTCAGTGAGTTATGGACGTTTTAAAATATTATAGCTACTTCTTTGTAAATTCATTATAGAGCTATCCTGTTTCAGTAAGTTGAGGCTTGAACGATGTCATCAGGCATAGAAGGAGATAAGGTGATATGAAAGATGAGCAATGTGTGGCAGCTTTCAGTGGTTCTCTTTAGAGGTGTCGCTTTTGCCAGACAAGCTCTAACATTTTCCTGGCAGGCGTAAAGTTTCTGTCTGAGAGTTTGTACTAAGCCTGCAGACTTCATGAAGCTATTGTTATTTGAGATGCGTCATATTTTTACTGGCTTAACTCTGAAACCTGAGATTGGTGATATGATGTCACCTTGAATTTTCACAATGTGGAAAATCATACAGTACACCAGAAAGCAGGGCTGTTTTGTAACATTGCCTTTCATCTTTCTCTGGCATGCCCATGGCTGGAACAGTCTGCAGCATTGGGGGAGCATCACTCCTGTGTTCCTTTTCAGTCCAGCTTTGTGGTGAAGGGCCAGTTGTACGTTTTTCCTGTGTTGTTCTTACCCGCATGAATATTTTTTGTCCTAGGGAAGTGAAATGTGTTAATTTGATTACTTGTATTTTCTCTTTTTCAGCTAGTGGAAGTGTTAAAGACGTCTTTGTTGGAGCCAGAAATGGACAATACAGGCTTTTAAAAATAATCATTGACAATGGTTAGTCACTTTTAATCTTTTTTTTTCTGATTCTTGTAGATATTTTCCTAATTGTTTTAATGACCTACATGTAAAATTGTTTAAAAAACAAAACTCTGTGCAAAAGTTCATGTTACTAAGGTCTTTCATATACAGAAGGTAAAATTTTAGTGATGCTAAGTTTTCACTATGATGCTACTGTATTTTTGAGTGTGAATTTTTCTTTGAAGTGTCATTCTGTGTTTTGTCAAGAACTGCTGTGTGTTTCATATGCATAATATGAGTGAGCTTACTCTTTTCTCTTTTGAAAGAAAGAGTGGAGGGAAAGAAAGCTTCCACACCTGTGTAGTGTTTTGTCACTTTGGTTACTTTCATTAGGTGGAGAGCTAGTCTTACATAACAGCTAGTCACCTTACATGAACTATGCATGTTATCCACCTTTTATACTGGGATCAGCTGCATGTAGAAAGTCCTATTAAAGGAGATGTTTAGATACTAATCTGACTACATAGATAATATCTTTAAAATCTGTAACTTCATAGAATTTTTCAAAGTTAAAACTGTTCCTTAAGTCTCAAGTATATATTATAAATACAAAACTACATAATTTCTATCAGAACTTGAGGTTGATCTTCAAACTTCTTGTCAAGTGATCAAGGCTGCAAACATTTAAAGACATAATACATAATTACTTTTTTTTGGTGTAGTAGCCATGCCGGTTGGTTGTATAAGACATTTCATGGTTTAGTCCATCTTTTTAAGTATGTCAGTTGTCTGCTTTGGAGTTTCTTGTTCCAGAGTTCATTTGCTCACAGGACGCTGAAGTAGTTGTTAGCTGGAGAAAGCAACATGTATGCACATGTACATATACAGTCATACTTTTATTGTTGGGTAAATAGCCTACTGTTAACTTCTTTGTTCTCAGGAAGTTTTCTGACATTTTAATATAACTTTCCTTAAGGAAGTGGCAATAGTAATATTATAGACAGGATACTGTGGTAAACTCTCAGTAACACAAAGTAGTAAATGCTGGCATACTGTTGAATTTTTTTCCCTATTAAGGTAAAAAAATATGCTTTTGTGTTTATGCAACATTTTAGTGTGAAATGAAGCCTAGAAATAAGATACAAATGGAAGACATTCCCTATTTTTTCATTTTTTTTGTGTGTGTGTTCATGTGTGTGTATATATATTTTATATATATTTTTTATATATGCATTTCATTTCTATATAGAAGCAGAATCAAGTCTTTGATACTATTTTCCACAGTTCAAAAAGAAACCTGTAAAACTCCCAAATTACTGGAAGAAGAACAGTTACCTCATCTGTGTGCAGGAGCTTTCAGCAACCAATAACAGTCCTTAGTCAACAGATAACAGTCAAATAGAGTTCTGCTAATCTGAGTTCATAAGAGAAGAGTTTTGCTGCTGGGCAGTAGTGTTCCTCTGATTCTGTCTTTCTCTCTTAAATCCAAGTGGGTATAAATCCAGCTAAAGCTCAGAATTGGCAAGTACATTTTGAATACTTAGGTTTAGGTGTACAACTTCAGGTACTTTGTATCTTCAGGTATTTTGCATGGAGACCTCATAGCAACTTTTAAATATCTGAAGGGGCCTACAAGGGAACTGGAGAGGGACTCTTTGTTAGGAACTGCAATGATAGAACAAGGGATAATGAATTCAAACTGAAGGAGGGAAAGTTTAAGTTAGATATTGGAAAAAAGTTTTTTCCTGTAAGG